GGGTTGGGGGGGGGGAATCTGGGCTGGGGGAAAAAGTTTTGTGAGCAGGGGGAGGTGGGGCATTTGGAGGGGCTTTCTGCTCCCGCCTGCTGCCTCCCCCCATTTCCCTGGGACTCCTTCCAAGCAATAAACCCTGCTCAGGCTCCAAGCGGGAAGAGGGAGCTGGTTGCATCTTTGGTTTTCAAAGTGTAAAAGCAAATGCCTTTGGGCATCTTGTGAGACATGGTTTTCATAATTCCTACTTGATCTTCTTTCTGACAGCCTGTGGGGCTGGCTGTGGTCAGCCTGGGACCCCTGCTCTGGGCACCCTAGAAGGCACCTCCGGCTCCTCCCCTGAGGCCAGCCCTCCTTACCTTTCTGCTGCTCAGACTGAAAGGACAGGGCAGCAGCTAGAAAGAACTTCTGTCTTATGTGCAGGGATGGGGGTCTTTTTATTAGAAAAGAAAGGGAGAGAAGGGGCTGAGGCAGTAACCCTGCTGGGTGTGGGTTTTCCAGGTCTCAGCAGGAAGCAGCAGGCTTCACCCTGGGCCCTCCATCACACACTCACCCACACAGTGAGTTCAGCACCCAGACCCAGTCAGGATGGGGAGCCAGACTGCCCAGGACACATCTGTGTCCTAACCTCCTTCAGGCTCAGTTTCCTCATCTTGGAAATACGAATAATAATAGATGGCGCATGCTCAGCACCAAGCACAGTGTCTGCAGGCACGCAGGAAGTTTTCCATAAATGGAGGATGTTATTAGTGGGGGAGACACATGCAAACATAGTAATGATAATAAAAATAACCAACACCGTGTGGCACCATGTACCTGGCATTCATAGCTCTTTACAGAAACTCATTCAAACCTCGTGTGCCCAAATAAGAGGTGCCCGTGACATAATGTGATCAGTGAGAAATGTACAAGGCTTTATGGGAGCCTGAATTCTCCCAGGCATTGGGGGATGCAGGACAGAGGCCTCTAGGTGAGGGGACATGGAATCAGCTCTCAATGGTGAACAGGAAACTGCCCACAGGACATTAGATGTGACTGGAGAGGGTTGGTGTGTCCTGGGAGAACCAGGAAGGATGAGGTCAGCTGGCCTCAGACCGTGGCAGCTCTCTAATGGCCTGAGACATGGGATGGGAGGCATACAGGCTTATAAGGGACACTCAAAGCCACCTGGTCTGCCTCCTCCCTCCCGTTCCACACGCATACTCTATCCAGGAGCATGTTCCCTCTGTCCCCTGTGTATGACAAGAGTTTGCTCCCTCCTCTCCTGATAGGTCCTCAGGGACTTCTAAAGACAGAGGACCATAGACTCCAGGTTGAGAAGACTCTCCTGCAGGGACTCATCAGGTCCTTGTGGTCAGAGCATTACCAATGGTGGAAAAGAGAGGGAGGGGCAATGCAGTGAGTGAGGACTTGGCTTTGACCATGTCTCTGGACCCCAGAGCAGAGGTCCCAGCCCATGTGGAGGCAGGCCCCC